CGATCGGGAAGCACATTGTTTTTCGATTTATATGAAGGCGATGTTGCATCAGTCGATCGATTAGCTCCGACTGATTTCTGGCCAATATCCTGACTGTTCCGAACAGCAGATTGTGAACGTGACCCGGTGGAATCTAGACCCCGTTTGGTGCGCACGAGCTCCTACATTTTGAGATAAGCAAAAACAGATAAACAGGTTGGAGATGAAGACGAACACTTTGTTAAAATTATGATCATAAATGAATCAAATCAACAACATCAAAAGTGTTACCTCAAATGACAACGAAACGGAACTGCCAAAATAGGTAAGAGAACGAACACCAAATCGGTTCGCAGTGGATACTTCTGTAAATGGATTACACCATTCTGAAAATCCTTACAATAGACCTAACACCCTGCGTGCACATCCTCCAAGAGAAAAATCCTCCTGGTTAACCACATATAAAAAAGGGGATGGGGGTTAATGAAGTTAGAGAGCAGGAAGTGAATGTCTACAGTTATAAGCGGATCATTCAGTCGCAATAGCTACACGACCACTCATTTTTGACGAAACTGTGGCAATCGTGTTCTTCAGTTCTCTTTGTATTAAGTGCAAGTATAAGGTCCTTTACTTAACTGTTTCGCTCACGACCCGACCTCGACCGAAAACTCGTAATGAGGTTACTCAGATTGAGCCTCTAATCGTGGATCGAGTGTGACAACAGCCCATAGTATCACCATTAACATGGAGAACCAACCGCAAATCTAAATCAGTAACCACTTTCTTTGGTCACATAGCTTAACTTACTCGAACAATCAACTCCAAGACCTCGACTGCGGTTTTCTGAGCGCACTTGTTTGCCCTGAACTCCGCCTCAGTGAAGGCGTATCGACTAGCACACACCGGTGTGAAAGATTGAGTTCGATCGCGATGCCCGTTTATGTCAGAGTCCCGTACGATCCCGCTTGGGGTAAACAGGGAACCAGCATAGGGCAGTTGACTGCACATCACCAACAGGCAGAGATTGATTATAACTTCCAGTAGATTGGCCTGCGTTCGCAAGGTTTGAACCAATTCGTCCTGAGTAGCAGGGCCGTAGAAATTACCCCCGGCCAAGGCTCGACGATGCCGTGTGAGCAGCTCTGCTAGATTCAGTCCGAACAGAGATGGAGAAGTGACGCCTCCACGATCCCCATTCATTCCGGTGGTAACGGGGGCCGCCACCAGAGCGTGCACAAACAAAGTGGGTGCAACAGTGAGAATTGCCCGAATGCGTGATAGGGCATAGATGACCTGTGAAGAGAATGGAGACGTATACAAAAACACCAAGTGGTCCGTTACACGCATTATAATTATTGTGAAGGTTGAGATTAGATATTAGTAAATCAACAAGGACCTCGCGCTATTTCGTATCTCCAGTGTCAGATCGAAGTGAAGGAGGTTGGTGTGGATAGCCCAAACGAGTGACGTGTTCCAAACGAAACGTCTCGCGTACGGATTCAAATCACGTAGGATATGATATGCGTCCATCGTTGATGAATCCCGGCAAACATACATTGGCTGTGTGCATAATTCAAAGCTTTCCAGTGGTGTTTCCAAAAGCCTCAATGTAGTCGGGGGTGGGTGTTTGGAGTTTTGGCTGTTCATCCTTCCCTTGCATCTAGCAAAATGCTCCCATGCGACCAAGCGTCTTAAATTGCCTATGCTGAGGAAGCCCTACTCACTGTCTTCCCGTGGCGGAGGTGTTTTCCCCCAAAAAGCCGACACCCGGGGCTATAACCGGGTTGGTGGACCACTGGTAATTCACCTAGGGGAGCTGGCCAAACACCCTGATTCCAAACCAGGAGGAACAACAAAGACGAACCACACACCTTCCCGGTTGTTGTGAGAAATCCGAAAACTGAATGTGTGTAGTGTAAAGTAAGAAAGCCTATTAGGATGTGTGCCCTCAAGGATCGATAAACACGAGTAAACACGAATACGTCATGGGAACAATAAAACAAAACCTCACGGCTGTTTGTCTGACACGGAGATAATAATGATTTTAAAAATCCCGTAGGTT